ACTTCTTGAAAATAAAATGTAAATAATAACCGGACAATTTGCCAGGCATGTCTCCTCTCTTCATTTATCTCAGATGCGAGCACTGCCAGAGATGAATTTCTTTTATACCGAAATGAAGCCTCTAGGATCTGCCTCAGGAATCCCTAAGTTCGATCTCATTATCCACAAGGCCTGAGCTTGTAAATTTACCATCTACTAATAGCTGTGTGAAAATGTTTTGATGCTAAGCTTAGTTCAATTATTTATTAATTGTTCCATATTTTAAGCAAAGTGAGCTTAAAGTAACTTTTCAAGCAGCTTCAGTAAAAGTTACCTACTTTCGCAAGTGCCTTAAATATGTATATATATATTATTAAAGATTATCCAGCTTCAAACTAGTAGCTAAGTTTGTTGAAAAATAAACGACTTGACGGACGCTGAAAGCATTTTGTGGAATTTTTCTTAGAAATTCTTACATCTAATTTATTTGCACTTCACTTTGCGGCGAGCTCCACGCAAACACTTGAGCTGCAGCTGGGAGCGGGCAGCGCGTAGAATCCTGGCGGCGACTGCAGGTTTGTGGCTAAAAATCCACGTTTTATTAGACAACTTAAGAGCGACTAACGCAAATTCATAAAGACAAGTCTGAGTTCTGGCATAATTACCAGCAAATTAGTTGCACTTGAGTGAAATAATTCTCTATATTCCTGTGGGTGGTGCGGGAGTTAGTTTTTAATTTAAATCTTCTTGTTTTTTTTCTGCATATCCTTGCTAATTTTTGTCAATTTTGTTCGCCTTTTTAATTTTGAAAGTTGGCCTGCGCTTGGCTTAATTAGAGTTGGCTGCCGCCTGGGAGCCTTCGACTTGCTCTGTGTTCTTTGCAACCTCATTTTTTTCTCTCTCTCTCTCTCTCTCTTACATCTAGCAATGCCATATGTCCTAGTCAGAAGCCAAGCAGCGCAAAATACAATTACATATATTTTTTTTTTTGCTCATTTCGCTTTGCCACGTAATTTCTGGTCTATTCTTGCAACTTTCACTTTTAACTTGATTTCCAACACTGCGTTGGTTTTCTGTGTTTTTTTTTTTGTTTTTTTTTTTGCTGCTTATCCTTTTGGTGGGCGTTGTCCACTGCGAAATGCAATTATGTAAATGCCTGCAGCGCAAAAATCGAAGTTAATTAGGTCGTAACTGTGGTGCAAATTGTAACCCTCCCGCGGCACGAACTGTTTGACTGCTGAGCAAATTGCTCGGCTAGGAATTGGTGAAGCGCAAAATTGAACGAGTCATAAAAATGTCAGCTTCCCCTCTCTTTCTCTCCCCCCCTCTCTCCCTCTTTATCAAATGAGAACCGAAATGTTGCATGTGAAAGCGGCTTACGAGTAGAGAAAGGATTTTAATATGCGTATTATATGGGTTTATGGATGTGACCTTCAGTTCTGAGTGCCTGACTACACTTATAAATAATACCAATTTTTTTTTCAAAATTACACTAAAAAAGCAGTAAATATATTTTACGGAATTTACATTTTAGTTTCGTTGGCAACTGAATTGAAATGAAATAAAACTATGCATACGATAGTTAACATCGAGCTACCACTCAAATGCCAATAAAATTGTATTAAATTTGTTAGTAAAATACTCAAATTTGAATATACAAAACTTTTGGCACCTAGTGCGATACAAATCAACACACACACATATAGGCAAACAAATAAATGAACATTTCTGACATGGTCATAAACAAATTGAGTTCTGATTATGGGCTATAACAAACCAATTTACACACCAAAAATTTTAATCAAAGTCAGCGGGGAAATACATTTAAATATTTTTCTAAAAATATATTTGTAAATAATAATAACGCTTGCAGATAAATATTAGTGTGCTCGCATTTAAATTGTGAGTAGGGAAATTCGGAATGTTTTTTAAATTTAATTCAAATAATTTTTTTATAACATTCAACTAATTAGACTTTTCATATTTGCAATTATGTGCTTTCTATATATTTGAATTTCATCATTTCACTAATATTGTTTAATTGCATATTCTGTTTATTTAATTATAAAATTGCCAATGATTAAATGAATTTAATTTCGCGCTTGCATCTGCTTAATTTATTAGTTTAATTGCCCGCCATATGCGTGTGCACTTAGTATAGATAGTTTTGTTTATATAGTTGCATATATTTCCTGTTGTTTTAGACTATGTGGAAAATGTGTTTCGGCTTGTTCGACTTGGCCCATTGATTATTTTTAAACGCTCTGCAGACGCTGCCTGGCAGGCGTCTCTGTTAGGGTCTTCAATTTTAATTAACTTGCAATTAAAGTGTAATTTATTGGCGCACTTTGATGGTCGTAAATTAGCTACTCGAACGACTTTCCAAAATGTCAGAGCGGGAGCAAATCAATTTATAAAGCCCATGCAATCAAAAGTGAAAGCCCAAAAAAGCAGAGCTTGTAGCAAGTCAGCCAAAGGTCCAAGGCCAAACGGTGCGGGATTTTTTTGCTGCCAACCGTTTTACCGTGCGTATGAGCAATCCAGCGTATTGTGACTGACATGCGACCCACACATTGCAGCGAGAAAGTGTGAAACGCAAAAAGGTAGCAAGGGTTGTTTTGGCAGTTGGCAATCACGTTTAAACGTTTTTGCAGATGGCCCTGTGGGGCGTTGAAATGGCAGCAGCACACACAATGAAGAAGTCAAACAAGTCACTTAGCTACTTCTGCAAAGAGAGATGCAAAATTGACTCAAACAAAAAGAAAGGAAAGAGAAACTTTAGCTCTTCAGTTGGGTAGCAAGGTAAAATATTGGCCAGAAGCCAAGCTGATTTAAGACTTTAAGTCAGATGGTTCACAGATATTGCACACGCAGCGTAGGTGCACTCAGACTAAGTGGGAGATTTGTGGCAGGAACTGCCCGATAAGCGCCATGACAGGGACTCTGTCCCATGCGGTTTAACGGATAAATAGCTGGGGGATTCGTGTGAGTGATCAAACTGCATAGGTAATTAATAATCACAGGGACGGGAGTTCAATGAAGTTGAAAGCAAGAGACAAAATGGAATTGTGGGTGGCCGGAAATGGACAGGAAGTAGATGAAGATAAACGATTGAAATAAAGTATGTACATCTCTACATATACAACAGTTTGGCCAGACTGACTCGATTGTTCCTCGACGTAAGAGCTATGAAGCTGAAATTTTCAACGAGGTTACTTTATGTGATGAAGAACGCAAATTCCTCCAAAAAGTGTGGAAAATCGCGATAAACTGTTGTATGAGCTTCATCGGTAGAAGCTTGTCTGCAAAGATCTTTAACATAAATGCGTGATTTTATAAAATCCACCCTCAACAGTCGCAAATTGGCGAAAAATGGTTTTATGAAACTAGCCGATTACTAGCCGATCCGCTTCAAAATCATTTTCAAATATCTTTGTGAATATTCATCTGATATGTGTTCCACACTTTTCGGAAAAACCACCCCTCGTGGATCATAAATGCGGCTCAAAGATTAAATGGGGGTGTAAGCTTATTCTTATGCAAAGACTTTTAACAAAATTTATTAAAGACGTGATTCATTATTTTCGCAAAATGCCGGGCTCCTCGATGGAAAAAGCGGATAAAAGGTTTTCTGGCGAAGTCTTAATGAATAAGTGTTTCACCGACTTGGGAAATTCAATCCGCAGCAACTCTTTGTTTGGCATCGGATCGGATTTTTCTTTAAATTCATTGCTCTTGGCAGAAAACGTTGATTCCATCTTTTGGTTCCTTATTCAATGGACTTTAAGCATGTTTTGAAATTTTCGTTCAATATAGTACAGGTAGTTTAAAAAGGTCTACGTGTGGGAAATGGGAGAAAACATTATATCAAACTTTTAGCGCAAAATTTGCTTTGGGCAAGGCCGAGAAATAACAGCTTGTATTGATGGAAATATTGAGATTAATGTACAAGAGACGAATTTTTCGCACTTGCTACTTAATAAGAAAATACCTCACGCAACTGTGGAAAATTGGAGGAAAACAGTAGGGTTAAACTTTATTATATATGTATGCTTTTATGTATGTATATGTGTGTGGGTGTGTGTATGGATGTGTGTAAGTATGTATCTATGTATGTATCTTTGTATGTATGTATGTATGTATGTATGCATGTATGTATGTATGTATGTATGTATATATGTCTGAATGTATGAATGTATGTATGTACGTATGTATGGATGTATGTATGTATGTATGCATGCGTGTATGTATGTATGCATGCGTGTATGCATATATGCATGTATGTTTGTAAACATGTATGTATGCATGTATCTATGTGTGTATGTATTTATGTATGAACGTATGTTTGCATATATGTCTGTATATATGCAGCTGCGTATATATGTATGCATGTATGTGTGCATGTCTGTATGTTGTTTGTGTAATGTTTGTATGTATGCAGCAAGCAGTAAGACTAGCTTCGCTGCGAATAAAAAAAAAAAGTATTTTTAACATATGCTCTACTACTCGATTCTCATAAATTTAAGTAAGGCTTCAGCAAGTAGGTGGCTGTTGTGGCGGCTTTAACAGGGAAGAGACGGCGGCTTCAACATGGAGGAAGCGACTACAATAATGGAGTCGACGATTTGTTTGCATTTTATGTTTGGTGAACTCAATAAACGGAAATAACCAATATTCGGTAAGTGTATGCATAGTCGCAAAATATTTAGGCTAATAAACAGCGAAGTAACTAAATGCTACCAACAATATGTGGCATATAAGAGAACTATAAAGGAAATATAAATAAATAAACAGATAATGATCATTAATAAAAATGCTTAAAAATAATTTCTAGAACTTATGCTCTTTAGTTGAGCTTGTCTAAGGAACTGCAATCGTAAATATATCTTTAGGCACATCTATCTCCACCATAAACGAGAGATACTAAGAGCGCCCCCAAAGAGAACGATCTCGCAGGCACGACACATGCGAAGCTGGCTGTAAAAGATGTATATACAAAACAGTTGTCGCTTGAACGTCGATCGTGCCGCTTGTGTTGCAGCTGTGCTGTTGTTTTTGTTGAGCGTGTTGGGAAATACTTACGCCACGCCAAGTATCTACAAGATACATCTTTTGCACGGTCTATAAATAAACGACATCTTGAAAAAGGGGGACAAAAACAAACGGCAACTCGCGCGCGCGCCAAGTGCAAAACGAAGGGTCAGACCCCTTAAAACACAAAAATAAAACAACCAAAAAGGAAATATAAAAAAGTAAAATCGCTTTTGTGAAATAGCCTATATCATTTATGGAACGGCAAAAGCGGAAGTTTATTTATGCAATCGATTTGTGAACCTAAAAATACTGTATTTATTTATTTGTGTGACAACAAAAAAGAAAAAAAAATAGAAAAAGAAGAGGAGATAATAAATATTTTATCGTTTGCCAAGAGCTGAGCGATCAAAGCGTTGGCGAAAAGATTCAACGTTCAGATCAAAGTGCCCCGAAATCTTAATAAGCAAATCAAGCGAAAAATCCATTCCGCAAATTGGTAAATGCAAATTGCCAGAAATTGATAATGCGTATAATTATTGCAAAAATTAAAATTGTAAAATGTGAAAAATCTGTGAGCATTGCAAATATTTACAATCCGCATAGCGCAATATTGCCTACCGAAGCCTGCAGCACTTTTATTGCAATTTGCATTAATTAATGCACAATTTCGCGGGAGCTGCATTAAAAATTGTTGGCAGGGGGGGGGGGGGGGGGGGGGTTGGTGGAGGAAAATAGTAAAAATTCATTTTCGGAAAATGTTGTGTAAATCTGTTAAAATATTTTGCTGTTTGCCCTTTTTTACTTTGACGTAAATCAAGTGAATGTTTTCACTTAACTTTTATGATATTGTGTTTCAGATAAATATTGTCCGGCACACACAGATACTTATAGATACTTATAGAGCATATGAATAAACATCAGCTGTGAAAAATGCAGCGATAAACTGACGTCAAGCGCTAGAAAAACCAAGGCGCACATAGAATGTGTTCTCAAAAAAACAATGGAAAAAAACAAATAAACAACATTAAGTCAAAATCTCTTTTAAGTGAATTCGCAAGGCACGGAATGATTTTCAACAAACATCTCGAAGTTTGTTAGGTGTTTGCTTAAGACTGCGTAGAACTAGCACAAAAGCTTTCCATAAAATTCCAACCCAGGCCAAAGTCAGTTTTTTTTTCTTTGGATTCCAATTCTTTCTGTTTTGTAGAGAAAATGAACTCAAACGCATTCTTGTTTTTTTTCTTCTTTTCAAATTCATTTTGTCTAAAGCAATTTCAATTTTCAAAAATCATGCATTTTGCAAATTTAATAAACTTGTTTATATTGATTTTTAATGAAAATTCAGAACTGTCAAATGAAATTCAAAGAAATATCTAGAAAAAAATAATAAAACGTCTGTCCTCTCATAATACTAATAAAAAGTCGTCTGCTGATGGATACAAAAGTTGCAAAGTTGCAAACGATAAATCAGTTTATAAAAATCTCGTCCTGCTTTTACTTAAATCTTTAATATAGAAAAGCATCTTCAAAGGATATTATTTCTAAAAGCTATCAGTTAGAGATTTTTAGTTTTCAACAAGTCTTGTAAAAGATATCGTTTGGGTCTTTTCTCTGTCAATTTTAATCATGTGCATTACACATTCAGTCAAATCTGCTCTCAAATCCCTCTTTAATTTTTGCAAATATACTCTTGCCAACACACACACACACACACACACACGCACACACACACATATATATGCACAATGCAATGGTGTAAACAATTTGGCATTAAAATAGTTGTCCGAGTCGAGCCGGGGCATTTAAAAATATTGTATATATAGTATGCTTCACTTAATTTACATGATAATGGGCCAGATTTATGCATTTGTTACTTACCCGAACGCCCACTTTTTTTCGAATGCGCCCCCCTTTTGGGGGCTGCGGCCTGCAGCTTGTTGCAACGAAAATAAATCGCATAATTCGAAATAATTTTTGTGGCGCATCTTTTTTGGGGTTTGTTGAACTTATTTCGCACAGATTCGCTTCGTTTCGTTGCGTTCTTATTTTGAATTTCTAATTTCTGTGCCGCTGCCGCGGCCCGCAGTTCGCGACCCAGTCCTATAGCGGGCCACCTAAAATTAGTTGCAAAATAATTTGTTTGTTATTAGTGTGTTGTGTTTTGGGTTTCACATTTTCTATTTTTCTCCCTCGCCCCGTCCCGCTGGTCCGCGTGTCAAATGTGACAGCTTTCGATGCGCTGTCGTCTCTATGCTAATTATGCAAAATTTTTAGCCCATCTCATCCCCTGCGTGTGCTCTAGGCGCCCCTGCGTCATCATTTGCATTACAAATGCGGTTGAAATTTCTCCGTCTGACGCTCCTTTTATGAGCAGCATATGATTTATGACATTCCGACAGAATGCATATAAAATGCGCTGCATATCAACTTTTGTTTTCTTTTTTTCCAGTATTTTTTCAATATATATTCTCAGTAAGTTTTTTATTTTTATTTTTGAAGGTAATGAGTGTGGAGTGTGTCAACATGATTTCGGCAGTCGTTATCGCTGGCTTTATATTTTCTACAATTTTTTTTTATCGTTAAATTGTTTTTTTTTTATTCATTTATTCATAAATGCAACTGTGTGTCGTTTATACTCGTGTCTGTGAGTGCAACATATTGCGGCAATCAGAAACGCATTTGCCTCGCTTTTCATTTTTGATAACAGTTGGTCAACATGTTTATTCAAAAAATTCACTAGTATTTTTCCTCAAATTTCATGTGCTTAAACATTTTTTACCAATTATTTTAAAGAGTTTTTAGTTGATTTGTATTTTATATAGATTAAGCTGTCAAAAGGGCAAACATTTTTGGGGAAAAAAATGTTCGTTGACCAATGAATTTTAAAGTTCAACGAATAATTAAACATGATATTTGGCTTGCATCACGGGAATTTAAGGCGGATATTTTTGAGTATAACAACAGTATTCAATGTTGCGAACATTTCCTCCCTATGCGTATGAAATTGCGTATAATAATATATATGTAAATATGCATAATTAATACCTTTTCTAACATTTATTGAAGAGCGATCTTTAGAAAATGATCTAATTATCTCAAGATCCCCATCTACAGCTCCCCAAATCGGGAACTATTTTATTTAAAATATGCTCAGTTATAAGGAAACTTTCTTTAAATAGAACTTCCATTCAACAAAGTTGAAAGCATTTTCCAAATACTTTATTGGCTGCTGCGGACCGTGTGAAGTATTGCGCCTGCACCGAAAACAGCATCGGCATCAGCATCAGCATCAGCTTCGGCATTGGCGACAAAGTAATCCAAATCAAATCACTTAACTTAACTTTAATTCCAAATGCAATACGCAGAGTTCTTTTGTCTTCGCCTTTTACCAGCTGCCAGTGCCTGACATTTTCTGCCAGTTTAGCTCGTGACTGCATTTTCAGTTTTCCTTTTCTCTTTACTCTATTTTTTTTTTGGTTTTCTGCGTTTGTTATTTTTATTTTGTCATTTCCTTTTGAGTGAGCGAAAGAAATTCCGTGGATGTTTTTTTGTCGAATTACAATTTTAGGTTTTTATTTTTACACTTTTGCAGTTTATTTTTAATTCTGTGCATTTTATTTAAATTTTGTGTTTAGTTCGTCTATTTATTACCCATTTGTGTTGTTTTCAACGAAATGCATTTGCGTTTTCACTAAGTGAAAGTGAATTAAGTCATCAAATCCGTACACACTCTGTGCCCAACAGCTGATATCACGATATCTGCCGCTGGCACAGAAATAGCGATGATTTTCCATTTCATAGCTGCTGCTCAATGAACCACTCTAAAAATACGCCGAAAAGAAAAACAAAAAAAAAACACAACAAAAGCAAACATCAGCCAATACTGACTCAATTAGCCTCTACGTAGAATAAAATTTATGGGTCTTTTTCATAAGAAAACTATTTACGCGGCTGCTTAAGTGCTGGAAAAACTTCAGCACCAAAGGGAAAACTTTTTAGAAAAAAGTTCAAATTAATGTTTGCAGCTAATGTACCTTGACATTTGTGCGCTTCATCGATAAAAATAACGAGGAATGTTGTAAATAAATAATAAAAGTACAAAAATACACTTACATATTTTCTTTAATTTTTTTGGTACATATTTGTTATTTTCAAAAAAAGTGCAGCCGGAAATGTTGATGTTCAATAAAAAGGCGATTTCTTAGCTGAAATTCGAATATATGTAGCTGCTTTAATTTAAATTTAAATGCATTCATTTAATAAATAGTTAAATAGTTGTTGTCTCTTTTTTGTCAGCTGTTTCTTTGCCCCTTTTCATATTGCTCTAGACTTTATTTTGTTTCATTCAATGGGTTTTTGTGAAAAAAGAAAATGCTTTTAGAGCGTTAGAGCGTTGTGTTTATTTTGATATATAGTCAAACACTCTTACGCACACACACACACACACACACACACATACACTCGCACACACATTCCGAGCTGTCCCACACATGTTAGGCGCACGTAACTATGTATGTGTTAAGCTCTGTTGCTCGTAAAAGAACATTTAAAAGTCGTTTTTTGGCGCTCTCATTTTATTTTTTTTAGATATTTGCATTGGTTTGGCTTATTTATATATGGCATTAGTGTCAACGCACATAGCAGAGACACACATACACATACACACAGTCATACACACATACACAGAGCACCCATAAGAAGCTAATTGAATTTTTATTGGAATTTTTATGATTAATCGTCATGGGAATTTTGCTATTTTTGGTATTTGTTTATTCAACAGCAAAATGTGAATCTGACACTAAAGTTTCGTATAGCATTCAAATTTCATTTGGCATCTGTCGAAAATTGAATGATGGACGTTTGTTCTACGTATTTTATGCATACATTCATTTCTTTCTATTTGTATACAAATTCGTTTTAATGGCAGCTCTTATATCATTCAATGGAACTGCTCAGAGTTGAAAGACTACAAAGAATATCATTAAACGCAATTGATTTGATAATCCTTAAAGTGTCTGCTTCTAGGCAATTATTAAGTGAGCTGCCACAAGACATAAGAGTCTTGCAACATAATTGGCTCTTGTTAGTAGAAATTGAAACATAAATTCTCAAATTGGAAAAATGAACAGCACTTTGAAGAAAAACCTTGTCAATATGAAGTGGAAAAACAACACTGACTGATGGCTACATCAAATGTCGGGGAAATCAAATTGTGATTGTTTGAATTGTATAAGCGAATATCTATAAAAACAAAGGAAAAATATTAACAAAAAATGTTATTGTTGGCAACCAATGGCTAAAAATAATAATTAATAAAGCTAGCGATGTTTTAATTTTAATATTATACAAATGAAAAAAAGGAATTGTCAAACAAATAAATAAGTTATATTAAAATTAAATTTGTAAAAAAGTAGCAAAAAGTGCATCAATATTAAATTCCATTTAATAAACATTTAGGATATCATTTCGCACGTTATTTACACATATGTGTGTCATGTTAATAATATTGCAAAAAATACATACAGATGTCTGTGTGTTATACTAAATGTTGGACATTTAAATTTAAATACCGCAATCTCAACGTAAATATTTAAATGCAAATCTCAGAGTGTCTCCAAATCGTGCTCAATCTCAGATGCCTTTAACAAACAAAAGTGTTGCCTGCAAAAGCGACAAAACGTAAATATTTGCAATGTAGGAAATCACAAAAGAAAAATACCATAAAAACGCAGCTGCTCAAAATTAAAGCAACAACAAATTGTTTACTGCTTCGAGTTTTACCCAGCTTTCTCTTTCTCTCTTTTCTTTTATTTGGTTGCTTTTTTCTCGCACTTTGCACAAAGAAAACTGAATGAAAGTTTTCTTGCAGCTGAGATGCCAGAGCAAAAGTACAGTAAACACTGCACGGAGAGAGCTGGACCGGACATGCTAAAATTTTTAAGTAAATAGAGTGAGAGAACTATTCGAGGCAGCTGGAAAATCCATGTAAATTAAATAGAGGAAAATGTGGCGATTTTGGCAGAGCATAAAACTCAATTAACAACAAAGAAAACGCTACGACAAAAGACAAATACGAAAGACAAACGTAATGTGAAAACTTGCGCTCGGCTAAAATTAAAATTAAAATTGAAATTGAAAATTGAAAATAAAAAGAAGAAGCAGCAGCAACGAGTGGCACCCAGGGGCAAAGCAGGCGCCATGAAGTTTCGTTTGGGCGCTTTTTGGCTATTTCTGTTGACAGTTGGCGGCAGTCAGAAGCAATTAAGCGATAATTGTTGCCACGGGCTGGCCACTTGGGGCATGCCAGCTGTAGCCGCAGCCGCTGCTGCACCACCAAAGCAAAAATCAATTGAACCACCGCCAAACTTCCGCAGTGGCAGCAAGCACAACGGAAATGAGCTGGAAAATGCAACCAAATTCCGTGTGGCCGCAATGCAAACACCAGCTGAGCCATCGCCAGTTATTGGGGACATAACAACAACAACAACAACAACAACAACATCAACAACAACATGGCCTCCAGCTCAACCGGATGTCACCACATTGACGGCCAAATCAATCGTTCAGGCAACATTCAAGCAGGCCAAGGCGTACAATTTGGAGCTCAGCTTTAAGGAGCGCATGGCACAGCTATTTGCCAGCGAAGAGTCAGAGTCTGGTCTGACAACGACAACATTAGCAACAACAACAACCTTGACGACTGACAACGATAACAGCAGTGGAAGCGGTACGAGCACTCATCATCCGGAACGCCGTCATGTGGTGCCTGACAAGCTGCAGTACACGAAAGAGTTGCAAATCAAACAGGGTCGTCTGATGGGCATCACACGTCGCTTCCTGGTGACCAGCGGCCTGCGCGAGGTGGATCAGTATCTGGGGCTGCCGTATGCGGAGGCGCCCATTGGCAGTCGACGCTTTATGCCGCCGGGTAAGTAAAAGCGTAGCCATAGTGATGACAGATCAGCGGTTTTATAGCTAAAAATAGACAAAGGGTTTTCTAATCCATGTCAATTATGGTAACATATGTGCTAATAAGCTTTATTTTTTAAGAATTAAGATTTACTTTGAGTTCCGAAATTCTTCAATATTCCACTTATACTTTCATCAAGTGGTCCCGGGTTTGCTTGGTTTAATATTATATTATATTATATTATTTAATTATTTTTTTTTATTTTGTTTGTTTTTTGTTTTGAATCAAAAATAGCATTCATTTTTATTACAACACAGTTGGCTTAGGTGATATTACGCCAAGCGTGGTTGGGGCGTCTCCTATGTCGTGGTTGGAGGAGGTCCTTGAACGATCTTCTCTTGAGCCTCCTGGGTACACACCTCCCATCAAGGTCTCTTGCTACCGGTTGGCGAATGCTCCGACTTGGCTGTCTATGGTCTCCATTTTGAGGTCTCTGTGCAAGGTAGAGTTTCTGACGTACCAGTCGGCCCCCGTAATTCGGCGCAAGGCCAAGTTTTGGAGTGTCTGAATCCGTCTTCGATTTGTCCGAGATGCAATGCCCCAAACCTGAATACCGTATCTATATTATTTAATATTAGCTTGGTTAACAATAATAAGTCAAGTATGGTATACAAAGTACTAATAAGATTAGTTGTCATTTAGGTAATAGATGATTAAGCTATTTACTATTTCAATCTTCCATTTATACATTCATCATGTGGACCCGGGTTTGCCTGGTTTGCTGGGTTGCTTATAAAGTTAAAATGACTGTTAGAATTAAATGAAATATTTAGTAAAATAATTAACTTTAACACTTGCATCGTTAAAACCGCCAAAAATTTAAGAACTTTCATTTCACTAGCTATTTAATATTAGCTTGGTTAGCAATAAAATGTCGTAAGCTTTTGCAATTTTTGAATGATACGCCACATTTTTAGTTGCCAACACTGTCGCTGACCACAAATATGTATGCATGTTGGCACTTAACAGCACTGGCCGCACCGGCAGCAAACGAAAATCAAAACCAAAATTACGAAACACATGCCAGCTACAAATTCTGACCATGTCCAAAACATGCTTCACGGCAATTTTGAATTTAGCCTGCAATTTAAGCAATTATCTTTGGGCCGCACCTGGACAAAGGTTTTCCCAAAACTTGACACGCCCAGCCCGAAAGTATGCCACACTCGAACAATTTTGATGTTGATGTTGTTGTTGCAAGGCTTGAAGGCTCTTTGGGGGACCAGCAGGAAGTTATTATGGCACGGCATTGTTTGCTGTCTAGAGTATTTCTGTATTTATTTGCCACTCAAATGTGTTGGAAATATTTGGCAAGTTGTCCGTATCATATTTTTGTTTGTTTTTTAATTGGGTTTGCACAGCGTGGGAAAATGTTAATTATGCGCACACAAATTGTAAATATTTGCCAATTATGCGCTAGCTGAATGCCAAATTGAAAATTGTAAATGCTGAGAATTTGACCAAGCCATGACTGGCTATTGAATGGTCTATCAAGACTTGCAAGCCGCAAGCGAAAGGACATAAATGCAAAAGCCGCCAAGAAGCAACGGCTGTAAGCTAGCAACTGCAATAAGCTTGCGATAGAACATTGTGCACACAATGTAGCCGAGACAGGACATGGCCAGCGCTAAGGACAATAAATTATGTGGCATGCGCTCTTGGCTTGGCTACCGCAACATTGGTTGCCAGACAGTCAAAGCCGCAGGCCGTGACAAAAGCGCTTGTCACGAATCCTATTTGTGTCAGCACTTTTGTGTGTGTGCGTGTGTGTGTGTGTGTGTGTGAGTGTTTGCCACCACGCTACGTTTATTGAGCACTTGAGTGGCGCGTACTCAATCCAAGCGGCAAGTGCAACAATAACGGAAGACTGCGGACAGGCGCTGACGCCATATTTGTCAGCGGAAGTTGTTGCTGCAAACATGGCGGCGCGTTGTTGCAACAATCCGCCGTTGAGTTTTGCCAGACAAATACAAAGCCAATGCAAATACAAGATTCGTTTGCGTATGCGTAATGTGGCAACGCACCCAAGCACACACACAACACACTTTCGAGTTTCAGTTTGCGCGGCAAATACAAAAAGTTTGTCGAAAACACGTCGAAAATTGTTTTGCGCTTGTATTCTAGTATTTATCTTGCCTCTCTTTCTAGTCATATTATGGGTCGCAGGGCTGTTGCCTTTATTTATGTACTAGCAGCGCGTACTTTTTCCTGGTTGCGAAATTTATTAATAACAAAATGCAAATAACGCCAGCTCACACACACACACACACACACACACAGCAGCACACACACTCTCGTTTACTGTTTACTGTGTGTCATACACAAAGATGTGACCATGTGCGCAGAGATTTTGCCCTCTCTTTGTTTTATGGGCGCCATAACGCGTGCCATTCGTCATGCGAAATGAAATTTATTTTGACACGAATATGTCAATGTGTAAATGCTGCATATTTCTTTGGGTGGGCGCAGGCCAGAAGCGTTAAGAGATGTACAAAATTGTCTAGGAGTAAATGGAAGTTGTTTATTTTCTGAAATTGAGTACTCTCTTAGGATAAGCTTTCAGTAAAGATAGCAACATTTATAATCCTTATTAAAGAATCCTTTTATTGTTCTTATAATCTTTCTACCTATATCAATTTCATTTCATACAAACAAAATAACAAATAAATATTATTAGTTTAATATCATCATGAAAACTTGTTCAGAGTGGCCCAAAATGAATTCTCGCTTTTATCTAATGATTAAATTATATTATATTTAACACAATATCTCATATCTGAAGCTGGATTAACTTTTATATGAGCACTCGCTCAAAATTTCTTTACTTTCTTTATATTTAAAATAAGTCTTTATCTTATTGCACAAACAATAAATTCAATATGATACATACATAAGCCCTACCACACTTTTATTTAAAATTCACTTAGAAACATAAAAATCAAAAATTCTATTTTCACTTTTATGAATACAACAATACCCAATTATAGAAGAATGGTGGCTTGTTAATTAAATTCTGCTGCTATGCTATTTCGTGCTCACATAATTCCATATTAATTCTTTACAAAAAACTTCATTGAAATTTCTTCCTTGCAACAATTGTGCACTTGAACATATTATCAAAATTTGCATAGTGGAAACATTTGAATCTGTGGCAAATATTGTCCCCGAATAACCGCTCTGCAAGCCAAACTGATGCAATTTGGTAAAGCAATCCAATGGGTGTCTGTCGATGCCGCATGAAGTGTGTCATAGGGCATGCTGTGGCAGCATGCTCGATGACTCAACATCGCAACGGAATCGAAACTAAGTTGACCAAATCGTGGTTACAATTGCCCCACAGAAGACCCATCCAAATACCAAAACCCAACCGCAGTCAACTGGGCCACAGTGTCCCCTGAGTGTCCTTTGAATGTTGCTGCTGCTGCTGCTGTTGCATTCACATGCACGTAGTGTCCGGTTCGGAATGTGAGTGTGAGTGTAATTGTGAGCTTGAATGTGGCTGTCTACTTGTTTACGGCACCTCGAATTGACCGTTGACCGTGTCACATAAATACAAAATTGACTTTGTGCTCCCCAAATGCCACGCAAACCAATCGAATCCTTGTTTTTCCGCGGCAACCCAGCGTGTGGAAGTGGCAAAAAATGAGAGAAGCACAAAAAGAAAGCCAAACATGGAATCATTGGTTATAGCTTGCACAGTGGCAAAGTGAGATGACACAGAAATAAAGATGATACAGAAATTAAAAAATTTGTAAATCAGGTAAATTAATTAAGATTTTAAATTTGGTGAGTTTGTGAAAGCCAAAATATATCGCATTTTTATTAAAATTTCTGGTTTAATTTATTATAAGCCAATCAACATTTATGAACACATTGAAGAACTTTATTAGATCATAAATTGGGTAAATTGCATCGGCCATGAAAAAAAGATTTCAAGGCTGAATAATCAATAAGAATTTTGCCGGTTTCTTAAAGTGAATATATTAATAATTTAAGGCAACAAGCGCATAATATGTTGTTGTTTTCAATTAAATACAAATAATATATTTATTAACATTCTGTTTTATTTATAAGTATGTAAGATTTCGTCTTGCTCTTGCACTCTCAAATAATAATATTTTAAATATAACCAATTTTTATCACTTGTCGAACCACTGTGCTTGGATACTGCAAGCTGCCAGCTGCTGGTCGAGTCGAGTACTTTATGAAAGTTTGTTTTAGCTTATCTAATGGTGTTGCCTTTTCTGTTGTTTTGCAGGCGCACCGCTGCCGTGGCAGGGTCTGAAAATAGCGCGTCATTTGCCGCCGGTTTGTCCACAAAAACTACCGGATGTGTCAGGACCCAGTAGCGTGAATATGTCACGTGGTCGTTACAAGCACTTGATGCGTCTAATGCCCTATTTGAAAACCGAGAGTGAGGATTGCTTGTACTTAAATCTATATGTTCCGCACGAGGGTAAGTTAATGATGCACTCAGTTGGTCTGAAACTAAAACTGAAACGTATCCATTTCGGACCCCCTAGAGCCGCTGGCAACGCCCAAGCTGCATGCGGTGCTTGTTTATTTGCATGGCGAGTCCTTTGAGTGGAACAGCGGCAATGCCTACGATGGGTCAGTGCTGGCCAGCTATGGCGAGGTGATTGTGGTCACTGTCAACTATCGCCTGGGCGTGCTGGGTAAGTTTAATGGCGTCTGGCCGGGCTTAATGGACAGTCTGCTAATTGCTCATCACGATATGCCGTAGGGTTTATGCGTCCGGGCATTGATGCTCATAATATAGCCAACTATGCGCTGCTCGATCAGATAGCGGCACTGCACTGGATCAAGGAGAACATTGTCTCCTTTGGCGGCGACAATACTCGGGTCACACTCATGGGCCACAGCACGGGCGCCGCCTGCGTCAATTATCTAATGGTCTCACCGGTGGCATCAGGTAAGTGCCATGCACTCATTCGCCTGCTCTACACTGATAATAATTGCATTTAATTGATGGCTTGCAGGTCTATTTCATCGCGCCATACTCATGTCCGGCTCGGCCATGTCCGACTGGGCAGCCAGCAATCAATCGCTGCAATTGACCATGCAAATAGCCAACGCTCTCGACTGCCCGCTGGGTGACCACGAAGAGGATGATGCTCTGCTCGATTGCCTGCGCCAGCGTCGGTGAGTCAATCAATTTATTGAATTATTAAGTGGTGCGAGTGGCTGCCTGTCTGCAGCACTGTGTCCATTTGAATCGCACCACAATGCGTGCTAATGCCCTTTACGGTTTCTGTCCATTATCCTCTTTGGCCGTGGCCTGCTGAATGCGTTAATTTAATTTACGCTGGCATCTTCCAAAAGCAGCCAGGATAGCCGTGTGTCCTGTTTTGCTTTGATTCAATTGGCGCTTGGCTTTTGTGCGCTGCCTAATGATACGATAAATTTACGAGCTTGTCGCGCCGCTTTCTCAATGAGCCGTAGACAGCCCGGCCTGTGGACCACCCGCTCGCACTCCCTCCACGCCCCTGACAATAGCTGACCATAGCAAATCATGCGTGGGCTTAAGCCTTGAGCGTGGGCCGCCTTGTTTCGCATTCCGATTAGTTGTAATCCCTTGTATTCATTGTGTCCGGCGGCTCCTAAAACACGCGTCTAATAAGCGGCACGTCTATTTTGTGGTGCGGGCGGTCGCAGTTAATTGCTTTTCAATTAATCACGTTTTTGGATCGCTTCTTCAGCTGCTGCCGAGGTTGGGGTCATCCACTTAGCTGGCCATTAACTGTCAGGCTCAATAAATTATGCGCTTTATTTGCATATTTTTTTGCTTAGCTTGGGGCTTTTTCAACTTTGAGTTTGAGTGGACTTATGGAAATTAGTTTATGGATATGGAAATATGCTAAATGATTTTATTGAAGAAGCTACATATTTATTATTAATTTTTTTTTTTTAGATAATATTGGCCCAATCGTTTTTCTTTAATAATATTTATTGCTTATGCCTATATTTCATTAAATAATATAACAATTTTCGTTGTATCCTGAAATAAACTACTTATTTCCTTTGACTAGTTCAAATTTAGTTCCCCAATATAATTATTTTACTTATAATATAATATTCATAGATATTCAGAGCATAATTTGTAAGAAAAAACGTGCATAAATTACACATGATTTTGAATTTAATATTTAATTGGTAAATCTGTTTACTTTTATAGTTAATTTTATTATATTTGAGCAGTTGTTAAAAAAAAAAATTCATTGAATTTGCGTGTTCAATCTCAGTGTTAAATATTTAAATAAACAATTATTATAATGTGGAACGGTCCATTGCAATTTTAATTGCACATTAGCGGAGCCGGAAAAACAAATACACATATTCCACATATCCTGTGCACACACACACACACACACACATAATTATAATGTGCGAAAAGAGGGGCAAAAGAAAACGGAAAAACTAAAAAACAATTTGCATAGAAAGCGAAATAAAAGCACATGAAGTAAAATAATGTATGTAAAACAAAATCAACAACGGGACAATAATAGTAATTATGTTAATTATGCCAAGCACATGCACACGCCCACTCTCAACCACACACGCACTCACACGCGCACACACACACGCCCCAACGTTGTCGCCAGACAAACATTGCAGTGCAACAGTCGCTATTTTGTTTTGTTTGTGTTTGAGTGTTCTCTGTGTGTGTGTGTGTGTGTGTGTGTTTTCTACTTGCTTTCTTTTGCCTGCTACAAATTGACACAGTAAGTTGGCAAGCTGTTGGGTGATTCTACCCTTACCCCAAGCCAAGTAAACTTTCAAAGATAAAGTATTTCGAGCATAATTAACCGAAGACCAAATACTCTTTAAACAAGTTTAAAATTAAAAATTGAAAAGAGATTAGTTGTTTATAGTAAAAGAGATCAATAAAGTATTCAATAGAAAAAGGTTTTCGGCAAAAAAGATAAGTACAGGGAAGGAAGAATCATTAAGAGAGGGAAAGAGGACAAATCCTTAACTGAGTTTAAAAACGACATATGCCTTTTTTTTGGAAAAAAATAGAAATTCAAATTTAACGATATAATATTTATGTAGTAAAAGAGATAAATAAAGTGTAACGTAAAGAGAGAAGGCAAAAGATATACAGAGAGAAAGAGGATAAATTTTAAATACTATTTTATTTTGGCAATAAGTTTGTTGTTTTATTAGAGAAATATTTAAATTACATAATGTTTGGCAGAATATTTAAATATATATACATTTCGTGTTTAATTTGTCTGTATGTTTAATGACAACTCATGACAAGGAGGTGTTCTGCTAGTAAAAGTCAAGAGATCCTTAACAAGCGCGGCAGGAAATGTGTTAATGAATGAGCAAGGCTTTGGGGTATACTTACGTCTGGGTGTGACTATATAAAGAGGTAAAGCAGTGAATGGGCGAGTAAATGGGCGCAGTGCATGTGCGAGTGTTAAATGAATGCAATGAATTATGTATGAATTACTGTGCAAATGTGCGCCCCATCGCCCACACACCCAATCCCACACACATACACACACACTTCATTTCAAGCAGGTAACAACAACGAGATGTGCAAATATTTTGGCCACATTCGCATTTTCAGTGCACACACAATCACTCAGATAGACGTAATACGTGCTGCTTGTGTGTGTTTGCGTGTGTAGCCTTTGTGCTTTGTACCTACACATATTAAATATTTAATTATAGTCGACTCTGTGTTGGATTCCTTGTAGTTATTCAAATGATTTGCTCATTTCCAATGTTTAATTTATTTGCCATCAAAGCTCAGCCTGTGATCTTTATTTGCATACGGCTTGCAGCTTGGCAAATACATGATTTAATTATAGCGCATTACAATGGAAATTACAGATTGCCTTGAAGTGAGCATTTTGCATTTCATTTGCCTAATAATAATTTATTATTTATTTACAATTGCGTTTGCTTTGCAGTTAACCCCGTAGTAATATTTTGCTACAAGTGAATAATTTATGCAATTTACGTCACTCCAAACACATTCACGAATATCGCAGTAAATGCAAATTAAAGTGGCCACTTTTAAATTGAAAAAAAAGAGATTGTTTTATGGAAAATACTCTATAGTTTCTTAAGCAATTTAACTTTAATTGTAACGAAGCGAATATTTTTTGTTTGTTTTTTCTTCCCTTCTTCACTCACTTGAACAAAGCATAAAATAATTACAAATGGTTTGCTTTTAATCGCCTTAAAAATGGTTACAATGCACACTAATGCTCAACAAAGAACAGAGAAATTCGAATAAATACCAGACGAAAAATAAAGAAATATGCATATCAAGTATACGCTTGTCAAAATAGTTCCAGCGCGCGTACAAATTTTTTCATTGTGCTCGTCGAGCTCACTTAATTGACACAATAAAAAACAAAGCATATTAAAAATTCATTAAATAAAAAGTATGAACTGCAACTACGACAATAACAACAAAGACACTCCAACTGAAAACAAGGTTGATTTCAATCTAAATAAATGTTGGGCTTGCGCTTGTGCATTCAACAATACCAACAATACCAACAAAGAGTACAAGTTGTTAAAGTAGCTGCATGCAGCACACAAGCACAATCATCAATCTTCGTAGATGCCACACATAGGCACACACACACACGCACATTCACATACATGTGTATGTAGAGTGTGTGCCTCAGTTGGCCAGACAAATTTGTGCATTGTGTGCGAGTTGGCTGAACAAAACTGTGACAACATGTATTTAGTTATATAGCACAATAGATTTATACAGAAAGTCACTTGAATAGGTACGAACTTTGTGTGTCATGAAATTTAACCGAATAACTTTAATAAATAGTCAAATAAAGCTGAGATGGGAAAATAATAATAAAATAAAGAATAGAAGCATTAAGTATACAACTTTATTTTTTAAAAAGATCCATAAAAGTTTCTTCCGCTTAAAATGTATAACAAATATATAAATATAATTGATTTATTTTATAATTTAAAGCTAGGCTATTCAAATTGCGAATCTTTTAATAAATAAATTAAATATTTTAATTTCAAACAAAACATGTATTAGTGTTATATGAGTTCAACGATGACTTTTCCTTTGATACCGATTTCAATACAAAATATAATATGCTTATAAGTATGTGTGCTAAAATCCGTGCATCTATTTAAATGCGCAGCATTGTATATCTTATATCTAAGCCAACTTTAGCTAACAAGTTAATCGTAGTTGCAGTTGAACTTGTGACAGTTTTCCGCCAGAGCGTAGCTAATAAGAGCCGCCAGTAACAAAGCAAAATAGAGATGGAAAGAGGGAAAGATCTCTTCTATATGAAAATCATAAATCACATATACGACACGCTCCAAAACTTTGCACTCTGCAGCTGAAACTCAATTGAAGCTCTAAACGAAGGAAAACAACAACAACAACAGTAACAACATTAGAAATAGCAAAGGAAGTTTAGCTCAAGGAGTCGGTGCACCGTTATTTGAAGGCAGCCGCAAATTGTCGAGCAAACTGTGGGAAATACAAAAACAAAGGCGATAAACTTGGTCATGTGTCGATAGCCACGCCCCTAGGCAATTGGCGTTGACCACAACACAAACGGCGCTGGAACAAGGCCTGCAATCGACAACGTTAACAGCGGCCGGATAACCTTCTGCGGTTGATAGAGTCCTAAAGTGTTTGCGATGCTCTTCAGCTGGTGGGTTGGTGGTCGTGTTGCAATTGCAGTGCAGCTTAAACGCTTCAAGATAATATTGCTTAAGGCGCTGACCGCATTTACGGCATTAGCCGAGCTTAAAGTCTGCCACACGAGCTGATTAAATCAATGACTCCCCTCCACGAAAATGCTACTGTGTACAGTTCTTTCATTAGGGCACACTCTCTTAATTAGATCAACTTAAAACGTACTTATGTTTGCATAAGTGCATATCGTGTTCATTAGGGACTTTACTTAATCTTCTTCGTTGGCAACATTTGCTGCATTGAGAAAAAACATTTGCAAATACAACTCCAAATAATATTGTGCAAATGTGAGCATACGAAAATTCCAAACAAAATTTGACTTACTCCTTGTCCAAACTACTAAGTTTACTCGTTTATTGCATACCCTGTTGCGAATGAATGCATAAAAGAGAGAATATGCAAACAGAAAGAGTCAACAGTATTTACAAACATTGATAAACTATTGCTATAACAAAGTACCTCAAAACTGAGTTTTTCTTAAATATTTGTGTAGAGGTTATTCTCTAGTCGATCTCTTTTATGATGGCTGACTATGTCTGCAGTTGATAGATAAAATTTGCTGCATGCAATCGAATATTTGCTCGATTTTTTCTTAATTTGTACCAATTGCAAAGTACTTGAACTGAGTGGAGCTCTGGCATGTGCATTTTTATGCAAACTACAACAGAAATTGGACCCAGTCCAACCATTTGCCAACGAAATGTTGCATCAACCGGTCGTTTTAGCCGCAGCTGCCGGCAGCAACGCCAACAGTAACTGCAACACAAAATGAAATTCACTTTGAGGCAGCATGTGCATATATATAATGATATATATATATACAAATATATGCTCATTGCATTTCAGATATGATATTCAGTTGGTAAGAAGGTGGTTTATTGTGTTGCTGCTGCTTAAATTGGCTCGCAGTCCAATCGTAATGGAATAGCTGAAAGGCTAGAAAAATGTATATAAACGCGATTGCTGTGGAGTTGTGGTTTCTTTCTGATTAACACATCAGCTTTATTGATATACAAACATATAGAAATATTTATATATATATATATATATATATATATTTTTACTTTGATATTGTGCCCTCAATTCATATTTCTCTTAGTAAATTAATTGGTAGTGATAGAAAAAAGCAACATCTGTTTTCTAATAATAACAAAAATAGCCCTACAAACCATATGTGTATCTATTGGGTTGTATCTTTATGTGGCGCACGTGTGAAGCTACGGACAGGAGCTGCTGTTGGGGGCCACGTTGTGCGTGTCCTGCAACAAATCACACATAAAATTTATTAGAAATTTCAAATCAAAGTGAAAAGTAGCCGCTGTCAGGCAGAGCATTCAGACACTCTGCCACACACACACACACTCGCACTCACTTATTCACACTCTGTGACTCATTCGACCAGTTATATGACCTTTTTACGCCATTTCTCTGATACTTTCTATTACTCTTTGCAGCTACCAGGATATCTTGCACATACCAACATCGTTTCAACAATTTTCAACATCATTGGGTCCAATTGTCGATGGACACGTAATACCAAATCAACCATACAAGGTCATGGGGCATTATACGGAGCATTTCAGCCGGTTTGTTAAGCAATTGCTGTCACAGTTCCCCTCTCTTCCCCTCCCTTTGCCAGTTTTTGCTTCAGCTTTTGATATTTGCTTTATAGCAGCCCGACGAAAACCTGCCAAATAACCCAAGGACTACTTATTTATTGTTGCGTTACTTGATTAGATGTTTGGCATTTCGGCATTTGCCATTTGGCATGTGGCATGTGGCATGTTTTGACCCTCAGGTAAAATCAAATCGCTCGTGAAATCCAAGTATGCATTAAGAGCGAATTTAGCAGCCATTGGCATCGCCTCGGCTAGCATCCGTTGAATAGCACCTCGAGTGCCACTTGTTGGCTCTAAAGGCAGGCTAACACTCTACTTAATGGCATCTTCTGGGCAGCTCTATACCTTCAAAGGGTCATATAAAATGTTGAACCAAATCCTAAATACCGTAGATATTGTCTACTACATATGGCAGACAAATTACAAACGGTGCAGAGAAATGGGTAAATTGTTGGCCCAGACAGGTTAATCATTTTTTATAAATATTTGCAATGTATTAAAAGCATTTTCTCAGAATTTTTTCGGCAAAGTAAACGCAAGCAAAGTAGACTTGCAGCCAAAAAGATGAAAGGTAACGACAGGTTTATATTTAAATTTAAATATGTTATTTTTCTTGAGAGTAATCATTTGAAATCTTTAAAAGAATTTTTCTTATCGATACAAGTAGAAGCCCGACAACATGCTAATGTTACTATCGATAAGAATATCGATTTTTGATAACTTTAATTTAGGTCTATAAAAAAACTATAATGGAATTTGCCATTATAACTAGCTGTGCTTGTTCTGATTACTAACTAGTTTAATCATACTTTCAGCTTATACACAAATGACTAAGTTTATATGCACGGAACAATACACAATAGAAATTTATTTGAATTTAGCCGACCCTGAGCTTTAAGTATTTCATTTGGCGTGCTCATTGATTTAAGATACTGGGGTAGCCTAATATTTTAAGCTCAGCAAGCATTTGCGATAATATCGAGCTGTGTGTTTGTGCTTGTGTTTGAGTTTGTTTTGTATCCACATCAATCAATCAGGCAACAAGTAATAACTCAGGCCTTAACAAAGGGTTCATTTCAGCATTTTTGTTGCTCCTATCAGCTTCTTTTGTTATCTGAGCATCTTGCGCTGCCTCTCGCTGTTGCTCTCCCAGGGCCACGTTACTTCGCCCTTTAACGTACGAATGTACATTGTGGAACGTGTCCATTTGCTTTTTGGGATGCTCCGCATAATCGAATAAAATGCGTGATTAATTGGATTTTAATTGTTATCCTTTTGCAAGGCGAACGTGTTTTAGCCGTCGACAAGATGCTGCATACTAAAATAAAAATAGAATAATAGCTGAAAGGAAGTGCCATTAATTACGGTTTACGGGCAGGCGTGAGAATGTTGACTGGGAGATGGGTTGCGTGGGAAAGGGCCGCCCACAACTGCTGCCCAGGTAACTGAAAACTTGTCCAAAGCGAATGGAAGCACGTTTCGCACGTTTCCAGCTCAGAGTCTTGGCGATTTTCAGTTTTAAGCACTTTAATGAAATGGCCATAGATCAAAGTGGTAAATAAAATAAACCGTTAAGCAAGGACAGCAATTATCGGTCCAGCAGCACACTGAAAGCTCTACCTACTCTTGCCACCGAGCAAGTTTTGCATTTACTTTTATCGACAGGACGCGAAACTTACCCAGACACTAATAACTTTGCCATGCGCTTTGTTCTACGGCAGGATATCAGGCGCGCAACAGGACACAAAATATGTAGCTGAGTGCTGGCTGACACCACCCACTCCGATGGTCTGGCCATTGGCATTCAGCTTTACCATTTATCAGGCAGGCAGCGTAACAAGTAACGCCGCAGGACCTCGTTTTATTCTAGTGCTTTTAAATGCCGTTTATGGCGATTTCCCTGGGTGGTCTGCAATAAGCGAATGCTGCACTTAGCGAAATGTATGACTTACATTCAATTTCATTTTCTTCTTTAATGATGTTTGTTGTTGCGTAAAAGATATACATATGGATATTTGTCCCTTAACATTAATTTTATTTTTGTGCAAGCCCTGACATTTGATAAGGTTTATCGTTGTTATTATTTTACATATTTTTCCAACAAATAACAACTTTATAAAGGATTTTTTGTATTTATTTATATTTTTTTTAAATATGAATTGCAAGCAATTTATTCCACACCCAATTTTTCGCTGGGCATACATAGTATTTGTGTATTTATTTCAAATGAAAACCGAATATTTTGTATATGGAAAAATGTTTGTTTTGTTTTCTAACCAATTGCTCGCAGTGTTGAAAATAACTTTCTGCATATATAAATGTGGAGTACGCCTAACTACTCACATATTTACTACAAGCTATAATTCTATAGCTGCCGTCGCAAACTAACCTCTTACTCTCTCTCTTTCCCCATCTCTCAATTCTCGCTATCTCTCTTATGCTCACGTTTGCTGTCTCTTGCAGTTATGATTTATTATTCGGCATCACGGAGTCAGAATCCTATCATACATTGGCCGCATTAGCACTCGAGGAAGGATTACGTGAAAATGAACGCGATAATTTATTGCGCTTCTATATGCAGAGTCGCTTTGATGTACGCCCCGATTTGGCATTGGCTGCCACGCTAAAAAAGTAAGTGAAATTTATGCTATATTTTATGATGGCGTAAAATACAAGCCAACCTCGCAACGGGTGCGGGCGTGGGCTGCAAGAAATATATCGGTTGGGCAGAGTAAAGACTTGGTTGCATTTAACACTTTGCCAAAGTGTACACATACACATCCGTATCGTTCATCTCAATTAGAATTGTTTATGAGGCTATTTGTTTGCTTTAAGTGCCAAGGATTAGCGACGGCAGAGCCTACAAAAAGCTTCAGCCATTTCGCGGCACTGACGTCACTAAATGCTGTGCATCAGCTTTGCTTTAAATTAAAATTTATTCGCTGTGTAGTCTAGCTTAAAATTGGAAAAACACAGTCAATTGATTGGATTTTTAGTGATATACAGCTGGATTCAAATAGGTAGCTGTGGCAATACAATGGTATTAGATATGCTCGTATGCGTCTAAAACAAGGAAAAGCTTTATATACGTTCAATTTACTTTAATTTATGATATGCATTTAAAGAATTTGAGGTCGAAATTGTTTCGACAATTTATATTTTTATTCTTTATTCTTAGAGCAATTCTTATTAGCTTTTTGAGTTATATCAAATTTGCAGCTTTTGCCTTTAGAAAAATTTGTATTTAATTCCATTCTATTTTTTTGTTCGATTATCGGTTTACTCATTCTAAATTCAATACAACATATTCCATTTAAAGAAATAATGTATGGAATCTATGCGCTAAAATGTATGCTATAGAGTTTTTGAATGCATTTGGCTATACAAAATATCTAGAAAATATTTAGGAAAATGTTATCAGAATAACAAATACTCTTTCTTGGTAAGATTCTCAATCACACTCAAAATCATATTATATAATTGAGCATTAAATATTTGGATTATGTATCATTTTTATTATATGTTAGCTCAGTAAATTATATCTCTATTTTTGCCATATTTAGCAGTATAATAATGTGTGCCTCATTAGTGTCAAAGCTGACACAAACAGCAGTCTTTCACTAAAGAAAATAGAAAAATGCTTCTATGCAGCCATTAATAATAATAAACGACGCTGCAGGAGAGACTCCGCTCGGCTCGGGCCAGACAATTATGCCGAGAGTTAGTTAGTTATTACTGCGACTCTGTTCAAGTCCCTTTTGGCTTCTGTGTGCACACATTCATTATGCCGTTCATTTCATTTCATTTCGGAGCAAAACAATGCCAGTGACTATCTCATTTCCAGCAGCCAGCAGGACTTCGAGTCAAGTTTTCTATGTGTTTGTGTGTGTGTGTGTGTGTGTGTTTGTCCTGCTTGTGCCGTGCAATAAATAAATAGCACAATGCACAAAATTCGACCCCCACGACCCCGCCCCCGAAATGTCAACGTTTCAGCTGCAATTTCTTATGCATCTGTGTGTATGTGTGTGTGCTTGTGTTTGCTTGTGTGTGTGTGTGTTTGGTAGAATTGGATTCCTTAGAGATGCGTTTGAGTTTGGTCAGAATGACACCTTATATATATACTCTTATATATATATATATTTATTTGTGCAAAAGAGCGCAATTGTTTCTAAAGACGCACGGCAAGGACACTAAGCAGAATGACATTGGTCGAGCTATAAAAATTGCATTACAACTGTAGCGGCTCGTCGAATACTAAATTCTCTTCAAAGAGTTCTGTTAATGGAAACTAAATTCGTTATAATTTTGATATTTCAAAAAAGTGTTTTTGGTCCCTTTGGGTAAAGCGTGGTCTTATTGCAAGTAAAATTGCTGTAACAAATATCTTAAGTGTAAAATGAGAGCTTGTAAATGCAATTTTAAGACGCAATTTGAAATTACAGTTTTATATGTACATAGTATAACCACAAAAGAATTGGTAGAAAAAAGTCCGTACTCAAAGAGTTTCAGACTGTTCTGTATAAAAAAATGGTCGGAAACTGCAGGCGAGTTGCCAGTAGCGGATAACAGCAATAACACCCACAACAACAGCAACAAAAAACAGCAACAAGAGCAGCAACAGCAACAACAGTGACAACAAACCAGAAGAAAGGACGACAAACAAACGATTGAAAGGAAGTTCACACAATCAACAACAGATGCGCTTTTTCACATGCGAATAACTGAACATGGAAACTCTCCAGGGAAATTGTTTTGTACGGCACTGCCTCACGCTGCTTGCGAGGCTTTACGCCAACCCACACACACACACACGCATATACACACTCATTCCCGCTAACTTCAGCTGAACAGCTGCTGCAGTGCATCCCAGTGGCAATGCTTTGTTGTCCGTCATTGAATTAAATGACAGTCGAAACAGCAGCAGCAGCACCAGCGGGGAATGCATCGACACTTTTTGTTTTGTAGCTCAACATGACGCACAGATAGATGGACAGATGGACAACTGGACAGTTGGACATCTGGATTGCCGGACTGTTGTAGAGCATCAACGAAGCGAGTTGCCTGATCCTGTCCAGCTAGGGGCTTTGGCTGTTTTTAACAATATACTCAAATACCCCCCAGCCAGAAAAACTTGCACTTGTCTCCTCTACACGACACGTTTAAAATGCATCTATACTGCGACGGGGGCGTCAGGGTTGGCTTAAGGGTTCAGGAGAGGTCACTCTGATACGTTAAAATGTCATTCAATGCATCAATTGAGATATTGTTTGTGGTTGCTGCCATCTAACAGAAAGTGCAGCTAAGAGCTCTCATGAGATATTTACAGGAATGCAAAATTATACTGCGTGAAGGGGGGAAAGTGAGAAAGCTATTCCCTGCTATTGATTTTCATTACTGGTATATATTTTGAGAAAATAAAGCTGATAAGTGTTTATGTTAATAAATATTAAACAAAATTTGAGTACTGTAAATCAATTGATAGAAGAGTTAGAACAAATTCTCAAATATTCTTTGGAAATTTAATTATGATTTAGCCTCTTGAAAACTTAGCATTGGCTATTCTATTAGATTTCCAAAATAATAAAATTCCTCATAATAGGATTACCTCATACCAGAACATAGCCATAAAGTCCACGCTGTATCTTCAGAAAAATCTGATTAAAAAACCGACGTCTGTCCTAGGTATTATACACTTAATCTGCAAGTTCGACAACTCAAGTGCTGGCATCAATAAAGGCAATCAATTTGATACGATTTCAAGTTGAGTATGCCACACAATTGCTTGAGTAGCTTAATGAAAATTCCGCTTAGCTGAAGCTCTTTCATATATTCTCCACGCACACCTACACCTAGCCACACACAGATGCTAGGTTTTTGTACTAGATACTCGAGTCTTGCTTTAATTCATTGGGCAGCCGAAAGGAGACAGGATGTTCACCAGCCGAACGGGAGCCACTAAATAAATGCCTCTTGACTATCGCCTCACCTCTGAGACCCTGCTGAATGGGCCATTAATCTGAGTTGGCATGGCGAATGTGTGTCGGATTTACGTTTAAGACCAGCACAAGTAGCTGGAATTGAAGATGAAGGAGAAGAAGAAGACTAAATGCGCTGTAATGCCCAAATGGACAATTTCATGGCTAGTGTAAATCAAACACGCCTGCAATTAGACCAGAGGTCCACAGACAAACCCCCACGCCCACACAACCCCACACCCACAAGCACCCACACGACCTGGTTCACCTGGCCTCGGACCAGCAGCAGCAGCAGCAAGTGGACAGCCCAATTTGAGCGCAATGTGGCAGGCCCGAAACAATTTAAGGCAATTGCTTTCAAACTCATTAGCATGCAGCATAGGGGATGGGTGTGGCAGCCACTGTGCCCATGTGCCGCCACACTTCTCTTGGCATTGTTGTTGTTGTTGCCCGATTTTTGATGTAACTCGACTCGTAGAGCAGGTAATATTGGTCACCTGCTGCAGTGTTGCACAACATCGAACCGTGCCATTACAAAGCTCGCCCGCACAAGGCCTTGTATCTGTAACTGTATCTAGCCAGCCATTAAATGCACGAAAACATGTCCAAAGCATGCTAAGAGGGTCAACCCAAGCCCATAGACAACCACCTGCTAGCCAAAACGCCGAGCTAGTCGACAATGCCTGGGCTGCATAAAGTCGAAAAAAGTGTGCACCAAAAAGTGCCATAAAGCAAAGTGTTGAAAGTGGCGCAGAGCCTAAAAGTTAAAATGTTGCTCCCAAAACTTGCGACAGCGCCGCAGATAAAATGGCACAAAATGCGCTGCGTGGAGGATGCTCAAGCTCTGCCCCCTTTCAGTGCGAGCATGTGCTCAAACGAAATAAAACTGAGCCAAGGTGAACAAAAGGAGACTGCAAGAGCCCCAGCTCAAGTGCCGTCTCAAAGTGAAATTATTAGAAATTATGCACAAAGTTGCAAGAGACTTTGACAAAAAAAGAAAAAGAAGTAAAAAGTAGCCCACTTGCCTGAGGGCCCAGTAAAAATTTATTAAATATATATTGAAGTAGCCCGATCCAAAGGGGCAAACAATTTCAATTTGCATGTCTCCAGTCGACTGAGCAGCTCTTAAAATATCTAAATAGGTTTTTGTTTCAAAAGTTTAACCATTTTGGAGGCGATTCTTTAGAATTTCTTCGGATTTTAGATTAACTTTGTTAAATATGTCCCAAAAACAAAAGACTTAAAATAGCAAAGGGTTTTAGGTTTTATTTATGTCAACAGGAATCCATTTTTTTTTTTGCCACCGCAATATACAATTTTACTCTTGGAAGATATTTGCTTGGATATAATATTGAAATATTTGCGTAAATAAAAAAATTTTAAATATTTTAATTTAATAAGTTGAGATTGAAGTTTATTTATATATCTAATTTTTGCCGACTTTAAGAATCGAATTTAACTGATCGATGTTTCGTTTCATTTTAAACGCATTTTCCAACACATAACTGTTGCGTAGCTGAGCAGCTTATCTTAAAGCCAGGCGACAGGACACGAACGTAATAACAGCCAGCGGCGTACGGAGCCAGAAACCCAGCTCAAAGTGTCGCTGACAGCTCTATTGTCATTTTAATTTTGCCAATTTATAAACCGCAACGG